GCATTCCACAAAGGAGGATCGATTCGGCCTCCACCACGATCGGCAACGTCTAGAACCCCCGCCTAGACGGCATCCGAACCCCCGTCGGGCATCGTCTAGAACCCCCACCTAGACGGAACGTGTCGTGACCATGCACACACTCAACAACCATTACCAATTCTTATCTTTATGAATTAACCAAATGCCAACTAAGTCTGCACTCATCAATTAAAAAGCCTCGCCTTTCTTTTGTAACAAAATCTCCGAAAAGTCCCCGAGAGAGAGAAAAACCGAGTATGCACTGAATCGGGGCCAAATTGAGCAGTTGTGCAGTGACCGAAATCCGTTTGAAATAAATAGTAAATCAACTCTAAAAATTCTGAAATTTGGATATGTTGTATAAAACATCTTGATAAAATTTTTTCATGAAGGACACAAAATCCAGTTCTCACTTTAAATGCTTCGTTTTGACACTCAAATCCGGACAGAATCCGGTTCGCTCGGACAGCCCCTCAGACCAACAAAATACACTCATTCAGTACTCAAATCACTTTGGAAAGCTCTGAAATTTTTATATGTCATAGACACGAATTTTCTTAAAAATTTTTTTGAAGGAAGTTTGTTGAAAAGAGGTCTGGAAAAATTTATAGAAAATCGGAAAGACCAGAAGGTCGGGTGAACAGTAAATCCGGCAGACTGAATACGGTCCAAAAATGGACTTGCGAATGACCCTAAATGATATCTAAAAATTCCATATTTAATATATGTCATACTTCAAGATGTTGTGAACAACTTTCATGAAGAACACTTTCACAAATTCGTCCCACAACAGTCACAGAGAAAATAGCAAAGACCAGCGACGCAGCAGCAACCTTATCGGAAATCAACCAACAAGTACCACCAAGCAAACCAAGCACAACCAGCTACTAAACCAACTATCCACAGCCCTTAAACCATCCCTAACATGTCCATTAGTCACCCCTTAGCCTAGTCAAGGATTAGGAAGCCACTTACTTGGAAAAACCCAAGAAATCCGAGCAAGAAATGAAAGAAATGGTGGTGCGGTGAGCAGCGGCGGTCTCCGGCGGTGAGCGGCGGCTTCCGGTGACCTGGACGGCGGCTGCTGGTCGGAACAAGGCTGAACAAGGGGCTGGTCTGGCAGGATGAAATGGAGAAGCCACAGAAGAAGCAGAACCAGAAACAGAAGTGAAGAAGAAAGAAGCGGAAGACACGAAGCCAAGAAGGAAAAGAAGAAAAGAAGAAAAAGAAGAAAAAGAGAGAGAGAGAGAGAGAGAGAGAGAGAGAGAGAGAGAGAGAGAGAGAGAGAGATTTTAAACATTATTCACCCAAATATTTTGTCCGTAATTTTCCTTTTTCCGCAATTCCGATCAACCCAATAATTGGCCACACTTTAACGAGACGACGTCCAATAAATTAGTTGTGGAAATCTTGAAACTTCGATACCCAATTCGGAGTCTAATTAATAGCCAAATTCAATCGAATGCGACTTTAGTGTATCTCGAACTAACGGGCGGCTTTTAGGAATTACGCGTATCGACTCGTGGCCGATTCGATATCGAGCCACATCTAAGTTTACTCGAGCCATGGCGACCTCGGTTGTCATGTAATTGCGAGGGTCAATCACTAGTTCCAAATGACGTGATCGTTCGGATTAGGTTTAAGATCGTTCGAAATTCATACAATGGCCAAGCGGAATCACCCGCTATCCAATTGCACGACATTTGCGAATCGTTCCATAACCATCCTTGAATCGGCCTTTAACGGTCCAAAATATTCCCTCGCCAATCCTTATGGTCGAAGTGTCAATCCATGGCCAAGTTCTTAGGTCCACGTACTCGATTCCTAGCTAGCCATTCCCTAACGGTTAGTCTACTCGAGAGTGATCAATTTCGAGCGAGATTTCACTGAAAGTGCATTAAAGAAATATTCATTTCATAAATTCCGAAAATGGGTCGAAATTCAGAATGTCACAGTTTCGGTTTCAAGAAGAGGAAGGAAAGCTGATAAGTTTAGTAGCTCCGGAGCTCTGACAGTGATTACCAAGGGACCATGGGTTGCGTCTCCTCTAACCTGCTGAGTCACGACAACGAGTTCTCTCCCATCAGGACCACCTCCGCCCTCGACCACCACATCGTCTCCCTCACCTCCACCACCTACGGTCTCCTCACCCTTGACCCATCCCAGCCCTCTGCCACCGCCGCTGCCACCACCACCATGCCGCCAACTCCTCTGCCACGGTTCACCCTCGAATCCATCTTTCCCTCCCCTCTCTCCAACCCCAAGTCGTTCCGGTCCGAATCCAGGCCTGTATTGTCACGCCTCGCACCCTACGAGCGCGCGATTATCCCGCGATGGTCAATCATTGAACGCGACGTCCCAGGACGCGTCGCCGACCCAACCCAAACATCAGAGATTAGGCACGCGCGGAAGCAAATAGAAACAACCCGGACAATTAATAATGACAAGGGGTAACAATAGCACAAAATAATAACTGTAATTCCTACACTTGGCAAATACATACAATACTCATCAAAAGGGACAATGGTTCGCGAACTTAACTCCTCTACAAAAGGGGAAACTCAAAATACGGGACACTCGACCCGTCCTCGATCTCCGAGATACCCTTAATGCGTACCCAGACAAGTCGTACATGCAAACTACCCCATAACATATAGAGTTCACATCATTACACTTACCTTGCCCTCGAATCACGAGCCAACCCTGCATATTAGTCCAAACAAGATAATGCAAGAATAGTTCATCATCATATCACGGTCACCCGGCACAACGGACCGCCGTCAACACGTCCCAAGTCCGTAGCCCTCCGATCAATCCGGGCTCAAATTCCAATGACCGACGTAAACACGTCCCGGTCCAACACACCTTTAACGGGCCACCGTCAACACGTCTCAAGCCCGAATCCATTTGGCACATCGGCCATTCATGCCTTCACATGGACCGCCGTCAACACGTCCTAACCCGAGACAAGTCAATAAAGTACCCAAAATACTAGGTAGGGTTTAGGAAGCCACTTACTAGATTTTGGCCCGGGAAAAGTCGGCTCGGGCCTAAAATGGCCCGAGTGAACAGTGTCTAGGCGCGCGGCGGCGAACGGCGGCGCGGTGGAAGACACGCGAGGAAACAAAAAATATTATTTGCAAACCGATGGTCCAAATTCAAAAAAATCTCAATTTTAAAACAATAACCGAGAGTGATCAGTTCCCGGGCGAGATTTTACTATAAGCACACTGACGAATTACACGTTTTATAAATCCCAACTATGGGCCGAAATTCGGAATGTCACATGTATGGTCCGACCCGACCCGGCCCGAGATCATCAACTCCCGGGAGCTCATGGCTGGCCTAGAGACCGATACCTCTCCTTGCTTTTTTCCGTTTCCAGTCTTTCCTCGGAATCAAGTGGCTCCTTTCTTCCTTCTTCTTCCCCTGTTTCTTGACGAGAAAATAAATGGAACTAGGGTTCCGACGGGTTCCGGCGAAATCAGCCGAGATGCGACTGGCAGGAGGGACCAAGGAGCTGCCGGAGAAGAGAGTCCTTGTTCTCGGTTCAGAGCCAGTTAGGGTTTGAGAGGGGTGAGAAAGAAGAGAGATTTTAATTTAAGTTGGCTTTTCAGTTCAGTTTGGTTAACCGAACCAAACTGAAATAACCCAAACCGCAAAAAAGCTACGACTAATTTTCCATGATCCGAACCGAAATGCACCAAATTTTCTGTTCAGTTCGGTTCGGTTCGTATTTCGATTCGATTTTTCGGTTCGGTTATGGCACCCCTACTTCTAGCCAATCACCCTCTCAACATCGATAGTGTGTTTTCTGATATTTTAAATCAGATAATTGGATTCGATGATAAGAGGGTTTAGCTTAGATAACCTATTTATATCCTCATTCATACTTTTATAGATAACTTCTTCTATCAATATAGTTATCTTGATATTGGGCGATCACCATAGTTATCACACACCTTAATGCGCTCAATAAACGTCGATGAAATTAATTAATGTAGACAATAATAAACTGAGTGTGGGATCACATTATTGATATTATAATTACAACACATAAAAGATATACCTTCTAGGGATTGTTACTGATTTTGCGGCGTGTAAGGTCGATTACCAATGAATTCACTTCCAGGCATCCACAGACTAAACTTAAGAAGAAACACTAATTCAATGTCTCTCGAACAAATTCAACCACACATTCTTCAAGTTCCTGTGCAATTGTAACATTATATGAATCGAATTCAAAATCCAGCTCAAGTATTACACCAACTTAATACAATTCGGATGTGCCAGGTGTTATCTGATCCATAGCGATTTGCATGAAGCCCAAAACCACGGCTTCGGCTAGCGGTGGTAGTCCGTTGCCTTCGCTTGCCAGTGTCTATCGCCGTCAGTTCACTAGGGACTCTGTTTTAGGAAGTGAACTTCTTCTGTTCGTTGCATCCATTGGCAGGTGGTGATCTTCCATTCGTCAGAGCTCAGTGGTGTCAGATGGAAAATGAGTAGTCGTGTCCGTGGAATGAGAAGTTTGCCTAGGGCCGAGAAAAGAGGATTTAACAAAAACAAAATAAAAAATATATATTATGATACTTAAAAAAAGAAAAGAGATAAAGAGAAAAAAGAATTACATAATTTTATTTAGGATATACAGTCAACTTGGGTAACAAGTTTTTTCGAGAAAGAAACGATAAGAACAAGAAGGAAGAAGACATTGTAATCAATATAGCTAAGTTCACTCACCTACAAATTTCTTCCTTAGCAAGTTTCCGTCATTCCAACTACAAATGCAAGTTTTTTAGTAGATCTATCATTCTCATCTCATTCTCATCTCCATCGGTCGAATTCGAAGTCAACATCGCCTTGATTCGCTTGCCTTGAGAGAGAATAAACTCATGTTTTCTCTTTGATCCTATTTGACTATGTTCCTTAGTACTCATTTGACCTTGCAAGCCTTTTTGTAGATCTGTTTTGATCGAACTAACTTGGTGCATAAGTGAACTCTTGACTTCTGAACCAGTTGAGTCATGACCAACCTCGTAGAGGAATACTGGATTGATTAGCTGATTGTCTTGAATCTCAACCTTTAAATTGTCCTCTAGTTGCTTGCATATTATTCGGAATCCCCACTTTTTCAAGTGCCTACTTGATACCATAAGGCTAAATTGTGTGTATCTCCCATCAATTTGACCAAAATTGACTACTCCCCACAGCTCAAATGGCATGAAATACTCAAGCCATGTATAATCTGAATTCAACTCAAAGGGTTTCCAATATGGTACATAGTCATTCCGACGTTCACCATCAACACGTGGTACAAGCTCAAAAGGGGGTCCATTTCTTTGTTCATCATTACCGAGAGCGACATAGAGAGCAAATCCAAGAAATTTGTCGTAGAGGTCCTCTGAAGCCATGAAAGATACGGAATCCTCTTCAATAGGGAGGATCCACTTTGGCATCTCTTTTTCAGACAGACAAACTGTGTAATGAAGATCCTGTTATAAAGATAGACCGTTAGAAAATACTGAGTTTGTTATTTGTACCTAAATAGAAAATTCAATTTGAGTTAGTAAGTAATCCTAGTCAATTCCACTTCGAACTGGAGCTCTATAAATGAGTAGAGATCCAGTGATCCTTATTTGCATTAATATACAAGTATCGTGATAGAAATCATTCCCATAAGAGTACAGTAGCCACCCCCATTTCAATGCATTTGGCTACACTGATTATTCAAGCCAATTACATATGCAACATTTTCCTTGTTATTGGTATCGTTAGTCTCAAATCATTGTCATATACTGATTATTTACGCCAAAATACAGACTATATGGTGCGACATTTTTCTTTCTTAGTTAACTTTTGTAATGTATTGGTTTTCATTTTGTACCATCCACATGATAACTGATTTAAAGAACGCTATTTGATATTATGTTTCACCATGTGATCTCCTTATCAATTAATGCCCATCTCAAAACGATTAATTAATAAAGTTTTTTTGGCTACATAATAACTATATTTCTTACGTAAATTACCTTTTATATATGGTAGTTTTCTGTGTAGGTTAATTATGCCGCTATGTTTTCTAACTTTATTTCTAACTATAGAAATGTATTTTTTAAGTTCTAGTCCTAGAGAACATAAATGTTATCTATTTAATTAACACCCTTTCATATTTCCTGTAACGAAATAAATGTTGAGGGAGGAAAATGGAGCCAACGATCGTGTGACACCCGACATAGCCACAGCACACTATTCTATTCAACTTTCCATTATTCTATTGACATGTCTTTAACCTTAAGGTTTCACAAGGAGTAAACATGTTTATCATCCTCAATCAAGTCCAGAGTTCAAATCACCACAAGGGTGCATTTTCTTTGTGCTACTCTCAGCAACATAAACCTACATGTCCTTGGTAATTACCTAGTGTTGGATTGTCCCATCTAATGAAGATTAGTTGGGTACTCAAAAAACTCTGGGATACCACATTGATATAAAGAAAAACCTCTTCCATTCTTTTGATAATTTCTCTTGGGAGAATGCCCATTGACATCAAACGTTTGACCTCGCTTTATATTTGTTTGCTTTTCTTAAGCCTCCACTTGCATTTTCTGCTATTGCAATATACATGCAATATACAAGCACACTATCCAGCATATACTCCACATCAATATATGAGAGAGAGAGAGAGAGAGAGAGAGAGAGAGAGAGAGAGAGAGAGAGAGAGAGAGAGAGAGAGAGAGAGAGAGTAACCTGGTTAAGTGGGGAAATATTAGCCTTGGTCAACCCTCTGTGGACAAATTCATGAACTAAAGTTAAATCTCCAGTTTCTTGCACAGATTCACAACCATCCGCCAGAAGATAATTCAAAAATGGTGGAAGCTCGGGCATCTCTTGTAATTGATGGCGTTTTCTAACATTCAAACGGGACATACGCTTACGCTTATTGATGGATGTAGGAATGCTAGTAATATTGTTCTTCCCCAAACTCAATTCTCTCAAGAAGGGAAAAAAGGAAAGATTCTCAAAAAATTCTATTTCGGACAGATTACATCCATAAAGGTCCAACCTGCGTAAATTTGAAAGTATGGTCTTCATGGACGAATCAGCTGAATCATCGTACTTTGGAAACCCGATAAAATTTGTGCAATGCTCAACTAGCAAGCTTTTAAGGTTTTGTAACTTATAAATGCTAGAGGGAAGACTTACTAGGTTCTTGCAAAAATTTAAATACATTGTCTCCAAAGAGACAAGATTCTCTATTGATGCAGGAAGTTCTTTAATAGCGGTCCCTCGTAAACGAAGCTCTTTCAAGGCTTCGAGTTTATTAGGAATATCAGGAAACCTTTCAAATTTTTTGCAATCACAAAGATCGAGAGCTTGCAGATTTTTGGACTTGAGCACATTTGGAAAAACACTAAGTTTAGAGCATTCCCTTAAATTCAACACTTGTAACTTGTCATGATATGCAATGGACTCGTGGGCTTCTACCAAGTTTTTGCAATTACGGAGATCCAATTCCTCGAGATTTGGAATACATGAGAGGTCAGGCATGCGAACCAGCGACTTGCAGTGACTGAAATTAATGTACTTCAAATTTTGGAAGTCCTACAAAAATAGTGAAACCAGCTTTGTTAGCATTTGGAAAGGGACAAAAAAGGGTGTTTGCATGATGATGTTGCTTCATTACATTTAAACCATGGAATTCCCGTTTGAGAATAGGTTACTAGTGAAGAATATCCGCTAGTGATCTTTTAAGAAATTACTACATTTTAGGTCTTCAATCATAAATATTAAGCATTTTGTTTATTTAATGTAGAGGTGATCTACTGCGGAGTCCACAAATAGGCCTATGTAAGTTGTTGTACATAGAGGGGGAGTCAAACTTGTGAAATGATGGTAATTTAATATCGGATGTCATTCACGTTATCCATGGTTTTTAAATATTGATGATTAATAATATCATAATTTATTTTAGGGGCTTAGGTTGATTGAGGGTTATAAAATTGGCTACACAGCACATCGGGGAGATTGGGTTTCTCGAGGAAAGGATATGTCACGAATACATATGCTTTAGCCACAACACTCTGCATGTGGAAGGAAGCAAGGAGCATCAGGAGATCAGGCAAGTTGGAACCTACTATTCAGGTTTCTGAGTAAACTTCTTAAACTATTAATTAACTTTTCATTCATATTACTATAAACTGATTTTGTGAGAATTAGATATTATATTGAGAAATTACTAAACATTTAGAAACTTTACCAGTAATTATACATATATATACACACACATTTTAACAAATCAGAGATAACTCTTATGATTTTGCATTTTAGATATTATTTTATTAATATATACATACACAATATAAAAAAATTCACACATTAAATTGTGTTAACAATTAGTAAATCAGAATAAATACCATTAAAAATCCCAAATCAGTACCCAGATTTCAAATTAATTTTCGTCTTACAAAAATCCTAAACTGGTACCAATATGATACATTTATCCCAAACTAATTTTTATATAACAAAAAATCACAAACCGGTACACCTCACCTAAATCTATCCTTCATTAGTTTAAAATAAAATTGTACCTCATGTCTTGCATGTGGCAATCATAAAATTCAAATGAAGTGTCATGTGACAAGCCTGAGAATGTGAGCCATATGACAAAACCATGCCATTTGACAATCATTAGCGAAATTTGTTGAATGCCATTTGCCACCATTTTGCTTAATGGTGGTGTTTTGGACCCTTTTGATCCATCAAGAGGCATAAAACAATGTGACCTCATCTCTCCTTATATTATTGTTCTTTAATATAAGGAGAGATGAGAGACCCTTTCGCTAATGATTAAAACGGAATATATGTCAAGACTGTGTTCTATCACAATGAAATTTCCCGAAATCAATAAAATTTAAAATTTGTTGAAGTTTTGCAAAGACAATGAAACCAACTTTGAGAAACATCCGGAAGAAAACACAAATTTCATATATTTAATTCAAAAGGGCTATGCAAGTATCTGCTCACCTTATATTGATTTGGCTGTACTGGGATATTATTGCATTTGCGCATATCAAGTCCCACTAATTTCTTTGGACCAGAGGAAAATTCTGGAATTCCAGGAGCACATCCAACCCATTGAAACCATCTTAGTGCATTAGGAAGACATATAGGACCATGGAAAGAATTATGCACATTGCGCATGATGAGCAATCTCAGCCCTCTCATTTTTGTAAAATCATTAGGGCCGATGTACATCTCTTTCAGCTTGGGTAGCTCCAACACTATGGCTTTTACTGCACAATCTCCCTGTATATAAAACAAGACTATATAGGTTTTGCATATTTAGTAAATAGAGTCAAAGTTAAAGGAGCAGAATTTCAATCATATTTGCAAACCTTGTCGCATGACAGAACATCAAGAACATCATTATACGACCATAGTCTACTGCGTCTCTTGGGATCATCGTAGCATTCTTGGTTCGTGATATCCATACCCATCAATTGAATCAAGTCGTGCGCTTGTATTTGTAGGATTCCTTCAAATCCGTGCTCCATCTTTATCAAGGATCTCTCAATGAGAATTTCTAATCCAATTGTTGCCTCCAAACCGCAACTATCGAGGACTTTCTTTACATACTCCCTATCCCACCCCTTAAAGAAGCAAGCAATGTGGAGAAAAATCTCTCTCTCATTTTTCTCTAGTCCATCATAACTTATTTTGAGCACATCATTAACAGTTTTGTTAGGAATTCTAGAAAGTTTATTCAGTGTACTTTCCCATACATCTTCTCTTCTACCACATAAGAAGGAACCCAGCACCTCAAGTGCTAAAGGAAGGCCTTTAGCATGATTTAGAACACTTTTCACTAGATTTGTTCTGATTTTCAATTTTTTGTGTGTCAGAAAAGCGTGCTTACTAAGTAGCTCATGAGCTTCACTATCATCCAGTGTTTTAACTTCATACACATGATCCTGATCTATCTCATGACAAGTTAGCAAATGTTTATCCCTTGTAGTAATGATGATCCTACTCCCATTACCAAACCACTCACCATTTCCTGCTAAAGCATTTAACTGGCCCAAGTCATCCACATCATCAAGGATGAGAAGAACTTTATTGTAGCGAAGTCTGCGTTGTATCATTTTAATACCTCCATCGACATTCGACACTTCTAATCTTTGCTGCAGTAATAACATATCCTTTAGTAATATTTCTTGCAAAGTAGCTAAACCCCTGCAACCTTTTGAAGTTTCTCGAACATTTGCTAGATAACATGAACCTTTAAATTGTCTATGAATAGCATTGTAAAGGGCTTTTGCCAAAGCTGTCTTCCCTATGCCTCCCTGTCCCCATATTCCCACCATGAGAACACCATCATCAGACTTGAGGTTTAACATTGATTTCAGCTTAACCACTTGGGAATCTATCCCAACCGGATGCTTAGCAACATGCAAAGGTGTTCGGTCTAGGTGAGTAGAGATCTCCTTCACAATTCCTTGTATGAGCTCTGGCTCATCTCTGACAAGCAGAAAAAGAAGTTGTAGCATCGTTTTAGCAATTGAATAAGAATTTAATGAGTAATCACCATCCAATAATGACAAAGCAGTGTGTCCCTTTTTCAGATAATTATAGCCAAAACAATATTTATTCTCACCGAGTCGAATTAGGACTCCAAGAGCTCTTTAAACCAATCAAAACAAATTCAGGGTTCAATATTTAGTCGCTTTTAAGTGATTCATGTTCTTTTGATTTATACATGACTATTTACTTACTTTTTCTTTTGAATGTTCTATGCGATTTATCTTCATGCTTAATAAAAAAGAGCTATTTCGAACTTTGAATGGTGGCTAAGATTTTGTTCGAAAACTAGTAAACACCTGAAGCACAATGTTATTGCCTTAGATGGACTGTACAAACTAATTATTTTGTATCTGGCGTTGCGAACTTTCTTACTCCTTCCAATGAAATGGGGTAAGTGCAATAACGCCAATTAACATATTATCCATCGGTAGATCAAGTTTTAACATTTTATACTTACAATCATGTGCGTGTCAATTCAATTTTTTTTTCACAAACAGTCTATATATTTACTTGTAAGGATTAGTTTCTTGCACAAAATATGAAACTCCACTCAACTTACCCATCATTTAAATGCCACCCGGACAAGTTACCGGCGTCAAAAAGAGCTTTCTTCCATCTCTTCACTTTCTCCGAATCCTTCCTGAACTTGGACTCATGCTTAGCCAGAGCTCTCCCGTAACTCTCTCTCCCCCCTCTCACTTCTCTTGGATCCACTTTATAAAAAAGTGGTAGAACGGTGAGGTCCTTTTGCTCCTTACACTCCATAATCTTCGCCAACTCTTCTAAGCACCATCGAGAGGAAGCGTAATCTTCCGAGAAAACAATAATTGCGATGCACGATTCTTCGATGGCCTCCATAAGCACCGGCGATATTTGATCTCCCTTCCTCAGTTCCTCTCTATCAATAAAAGTGTATATTCCATTTTGATCTAAAACTTTGTAGAGATGACTGACAAAGTTGTTGCGCAGATCCACGCCTCTGAAACTCAAGAAGACGTCGTATTTCCTTTTGGGTTTCGATGAAGAAGCCATTGGATGATGGAGTTTAACAATCGGCAGCGAGTGCTAGCTTAAGATTTGGTACAGTGTTTTACCAGGCTGTTCGTTCACCACTTGATCTTCTTGTTGAGTTATTCTTATACTAAGAGGACAGAGGTGCACAACTTTTCTTAGTAGTTTGGCAAACGGTGGGCTTAAGGATGGACCAAGACATCCAAAGGTGTGAACACATGGACTTCTTTTCACTGAAGACCGCGTGCCACCGCGTTATTCCGATTGTCTGGTCGACGCAAACTTCTCTGTGGCCGACAAGAGTAGTAAGTAGAGATCCGCACACTCGATTGTTGCACGGACCGACAAACAACTCTAGGGAGGTGGATTATAGTGATTTAGGTCATGGGCCCGCTGATAAAACCATCTTTGCTGGCTTCCTCGAAATTTCATCCCCAACTTCTGAGAAGTTGCTTTTTCCTTGCTGTATAATAATTTAACACATGACCTCTCCAGAGATATATCATTACACACACAATCAAGTGTACCAGCAAAAAATAATATTAGATCTATTAATAATAGCAGAACTTTTGGAAAGCATGGTACATAAATAAGGACCAAGATATGTAATAGGTATGAACACATGGACTTATTTTCACTGAAAACCGCATACCTGATTCGAGGAAATGGCATTGATCTGTTGAGTCTTCATTTTTCTTTTTGTAATTGAAGTACTTCACGTCATCAGGTTAGCTTTTTCCATAGGCTCACAAATAAATTGCTGGCTTCCACGAAAGGGCATTACTAATCTCCGAGAAGTTTTTTTTTCCTTTGCTTTCCTTTTTTCGAATGATCAGTAATAATTTGACATGTGACCACTCAAAAGATCTATAATTGTATGCACAACTAAGCATATAATAGGTCTAACCCTATTTCATTTTTTTATACGCACAATTACTAGCATGAACGCAAAGGCCTAGCTACCTTGAACACCCATAAAACATCTTCAAGTTCTAAGAACAAATTAAGTTTAAGCCTTGACCTGTAATAGCAATTTTGATATAGAGCAATTTGTATGCAGTAGCTCGATAGCTTTTACGATAATACGCTTCAAAAAATCTTTAATTTGGGCTGTGCATATATATAAATATATGGATGTCAAATCGTGTCACTTGGCGCAAATGTGACCATAGGGTTTCTTGACATGAGTGGTTGACACTGATATTTGTTGCCTACTATATGGTTTATGTTATTAATACATATTATGTGATGCATTGAATTATGGAGAATACATGGAATACTCATGTTATTTGAGAATATTTATTGGTATTACTTCCACAATGCATTATGTCAATACATATATATATAAAAACAGCATTAATCGTTTATTGATCTCATCGACATACCGATGATTGTCACTATTTTTTTGTCAAACGATGATTGTCAGTTGTTGATCTCTGATTTTGCTTGCTCCTTCTATTATTATTCTATGTCACAAGAACAAAGAAGACGATATGGGGGCATGTGGAGAGTGATATGATTATGAGGTGACCTAAACTGACATTTACCAAAGAAATTCTAAGAAATTGAGAGTTCATGTGAATTCCTGTAGAAAATGGTTTGGATATTTATAAGTTTTGTGAATACAAATTTTACCTGATGAACAATATGATATGAAGTTAAATTTATATGAGAAGGTTATCATTAAAGGCTTCATTCTTTATAGACCAGCTGGTCATTCCCTATAATTCCGGTATGAATTTGGAGTATGATGCATTTACTACTATTTTGTGAACCACTTCATTGAAAGAGTAACCATTGTAATTTATGGGGCATCTGGGAGAGAAGAAAGATATCCCAAAGCCTTACCAGTATTGATGCTGCTTATAAACATCTAATACAAGCTAGCAAGTAATGAATATTAATAAAGTTTTATTGCGAATCAGATCACAACGGACTTTTCATAAAAGGACCAACTTTCAATTCCAATTCAGAAGAGAAGAGAGGAGGCAGGTCTGAATGCCCCTAGTTCTATCTCTCTTTCTGCTGGAGAGAAACAGAAAGTAGCTTTTATCAAGGGTCTAGGTTTTCTCACTTGATTTAATTCTTCGGAAGGGATATCTTACGTATGAATATTTTCTTAGGTGGGGTCACAGCCATAAGCAAAGGGATAAATTCTCACTTCTTAATAGAAATTCCGGCATGGAGTCCATGTCCAAAGAAAGATTGCGTGCCAAGTCTCCCAAGTTTCCATCTGCCCAACTCATACAGCTGAGAAATACTTGAATGCCCTTGGCCTACTAGACTAAACCAAGGGCTGATATAAAAGCCATGGGTTCCACATGAATTCATTGTCTATTGCGTCAACAATAAATGTAAACCCATATTAAATAGCGCCGGTGTAGCTGCTCAAGGCCCTCATCAATGCTTAACAAGACGAAAAATTCCAGGATGCTTACAAGTCGACCAACTTCCCACCTGCCCAACTCATACAGCTGAGAAATACTTGAATGCCCTTAGCCACGGATTCCACGTGAATTCATTGTCTATTTCGTCAACGATAAAGGTGGGCCCATATTAAATAGTGCCGCTGGAGCTGCTGACCACTCTCATCAATGCCTAACAGGATGAGCAATTTCAGGATGCTTTCAAGTTCATGATGGGAGAAATAACCACATGCCCTTGCTACCAATAATCCTCACAAGAGCAAATGCTACTCCTGAAATGATGAAAGAAGTTGGAACCTTTCACAACGATCTCATGATCAACAATCTTTGCAATAAGTTTAATTGCAGAAAATGCATGTCATTTGTGTTAATTTGTATCATTTATGCTACATGTATGACCAATGCATGTCATTTTGCATTTATTTAAGCCATAAATTCTACGTACAACGTTGCACATGTCACGATATTAGCTAGTTGCCCTTCATACATCGTAAATAATATTTTGCATTGAAAACTGAAAAATATCACTACCTATTGCATAGACACCCAATCAAAACTGGGGAAAAAGAAGAATGATTGAAAAAGGCTAAGGGCCTGGAGACTATGCTGTTCTTCGAGTCCCCGCCTAGGCAGAAAATCAGTATACGACCTTCTGCTAATAGTACATTGAGACTTAGAAATTATAAAATATAACTTGACATGCATCATTACGTATAGGCAATAGCAAAGACCAATTGACCGACTCAAACTAAAGTCCATATGCACCAGGAAACTACTTTGCGTTAAACACAAATTAAGGGACTTTGTTAAATAAAACTGTTTATGGAAAATGTGGTTTAAGAAATGAATGTGCCTTTCTGCTTTTTTTAAACATCATTACCCATCGTTCGATTTTAAATGTCTGCATGGCATTATATCTCTAATCAGTCTACACAATAGAGTCGTTATTTAAGGGACATTGGCAATTTAGGTCACTTGAGAATTCAAAGCGACTTTATTTTAAGAATAAATTAAATGACTTGACTCGTTGGAGATATGTGCACATAACATATGTTTAGTACATAGTCGTTTGGGGTTAGATTGGTTTCTAAACGAAACCCTAGCCCCTAAATTCAGTTGCAACACAACTTGGTGGTCCTTGAGGAAGGAGAGCTCATAAATGAGGTCGTTGAGGGATGAAAACACGGAGGACATATCGGTATGAATTGTACATACTGCACATCGACATTTCCTTGACACGTCAAAAGCACCCAAGTCTCTCTCTCTCTTCAGTGTGGCTAATTGTCCGCTTTAATGCTTGGTTTCGCACAAGGGAGTTCCCAACCTATATAGCAACCAGATTGGCTTGGTTTTTGGCCTGAAAAGCGGACTGAACCAAACCATGTACCCCCTACTTTCCGTTGTTTCACTCTCCCTCGATTGTTTTTCCTTTGAACCTAGACTTCACCTACTTCTTTAAATAAGAAGTTTGCCTATGGCGAAGAAAAGAGGATTTAGCAAAAAAAAACAATAAGAAGACATATCATACATTACTGTGAACGACACAACATGTGAATCCAATGAACTTGTCATACAAGTCCTTTGAAGCACGGAAAGATATGGAACGTTCTTCAACAGGGAGGAGCCACTTTGGCATCTCTCCTCCAGGGAGTTCAATAGAGTAGTAACGATGTTCCTGTTATAGGATAAATCATTAGAAAGTAACCAAGTTTGTTATTGGTACCCAAATAGAAGAATTCAATTTGAGTTTAGTAAGTAATCCTAGCGAATTCCACTTCTAACTAGAGCTCCATAATTGAGTAGATATCCGTTCATCCTTGCTTATATTAATATACAAGTCTCATGTGATAGAAATCATTCCTATAAAAGAACAAAAGCCACCTCCGTCATATGCATATATGGGCAGAACCACTTTAGATTTATTTTCTTTTCTTAAGCCTCCAATCTCTCTTTTTCTGCTGTTGCAATATACAAGCATACACTGGATCCAGCATACACTCCACATCAATATGTGTGTGTGTGTGCGTGTGTGTGTGTGTGTGTGTGAGAGAGAGAGAGAGAGAGAGAGAGTAACTGGGAATTTCTGAATCATGCTCAGCCCTTTAAGGGCAATTTCATAAGATGAAATGAGATCTCCAGTTTTTTAAAGAGATTTGCAATTTTCTGCTCAAAAGTAATTCAAAAATGGTGGAAGCTTGGGAATCTCTTGTAATTGATAGCAATATGGAACTCCCAATATGGACAAATGATCGTGCTTATTGATGGATGTTGGAAGGCTAGTAATATTGTTCCTCGACAAATCTAATTGGCTCAATAAGGGGAAACAAAAAAGATTCTCAAGAAACTCCACTTCAGATAATTTACATCCCCAAACGTTTAAATATTGTAAATTTGAAAGTCTGGTCTTCACCGACGGATCAGCAGAATCATCATACTTTGGAAACCCAATTAAGGTTGTGCAGTCATCAAGATCCAATTTTTCAATGTTTTGTAATTTGAATATGCTAGATGAAAGACGAACCAGATTCTTGCAATAACATAAATTCATTTCCTCCAAAGAAACAAGATTTTCTATTGACGCATAAAGTTCCTTAATAGCGGTCATTTATAAACAAAGCAATTTCAACCTTTCGAGTTTATTTGGAATATCAGGGAACCTTTCAAAATTTTTGCACTTACTAAGATCAAGATGTCTGAGATTTTTTGAGCACTTTTGGAAAAACACTAAGTTGAGAGCACCCCTTTAAAGTCAACACCTGTAACTTCTCGTGATATGCAATTGACTCGTGGGCTTCTACCATGTTTCTGCAATTCATAAGAACCAATTCCACGAGATTTGGAGTACATGAGAGGTCAGGGATACAAACTAGGGACTTGCAATTACTAAAATTAATGTACTTCAATTTTTGGAAGTTCTGCAAAATAGCAAAACTAATATGTCATTCAAAGTTACTATGAACCGATTTTGTGAGAATTACATGTTGTATTCAGAAATAAATAAACACTTAGAAAATTTACTAGTAATTATAAATCTATACACATATGTTGTAAGAGAATGAATTTGGAGATGACAAATTAAACAGCTAATGGATATTGGTAGGATAAGAGCCACATGGCAAAAGTATGCCATTTGTCATGCCATGAGGCAATCAGAAAAGTAAAGTGAAGTGTCACACAACAACCATGTGAATGTCGGCCACGTAACAGAATTAAGCCACATGTCATGCCATGTGCCAATTGTAGAAGCAAAGAGAATGTCAAGTGGCGAGCACCGGAGTGAACATTCTTTCAGTCTCGGTTTAGACTATATATAATAGCTTTATGCCAAAACTATATATTCTATCACAATGAAATTTCCCAAAAATTAACAAACTTTTAAACATTTTTAAGTCATGCAAAGACAATGAAACCAACATTGTCAAACATTTTGAAAGAAAAAAGTTCATATATTCAACTCAAAATCTGGCTCTGACTTTCAATTAAGAAACTAGTGGTATGCCATGTGGATTCTGTATATCAAATTATTTCTAAATGCACACGCATTACTAGCAAAGTTTCTAATAAATATTTTATTTCGTCTACTAAGAAATACTACTTCTTAAGAACTGATTTAAGCATTTAAGAATGCCTTGTTTTACAGCGCAATGCATTCAAACCTTCGATTGAGCTAATTCTATTGATGCGGGACAAGTCCCGCCATTTACCTGCATTAGGTAATAGGGGTGAGCGGTTCCAGGTTCCGGTTCGGTTCCGCTTGGAACCTGGAACCTACCCTCGGGTACAGGTTCCTCATTTTTTGGAACCTGGAACCTACCCGTCAGAACGTGGAACCTGGAACCTACCCTGTCACAGGTTCCAGGGTCGGTTCCAGGTTCCAACAGGTTCTTTTTTTTAATTTCGTTTTTAATTAAACAAAACGAAAATAAACGCAACAATGACTAGTTATTAAAAAACAATATTTCGCTTAGTAGAAAGGGGATATTATCTAACAACCTAGATCCATTTATGTAGAATAGAAAACACCAAGAGTTCAGCATCATATAACTTTATTATCAATTGATCAGTGCAAATATATTTAGTAGAATGATATTGTCAATAAAAGGCCAATTAGCAACACCAATAGCAAACCTCATTAATCTAGGAAAGAAACTTAAAGCAATATAATAGTGGAGGAGGCAAAAACTAGCTAATTAGGACTCATTATTGCAATGAGATATCTTCTATACAAAAAGCAATAGAGGACATATCGCAATGTCGTAAAAGGCTAAAAGCATTTATACAGCTAAGCCCCCTTCGTGCAAGGCTTACTTTGCTGATGTTCAACTTAAAAATCATTGGAAGGGATAAAACGAAAATAAATCAAAGGAAAACAATCCAAAGGTCCACCACTTAAGACATACATGTTTACTGTCAGAAATCTTCTTACTTTCGAACTGCATAGACTGGGCCAGCGGCAACCCCAGCACCAGTATGCAGTCAACATTGTAGGAAATGCAAAATAGACAAAGAGGAAACGAAACCTACCTCTTGCAGCATAAATCATTGCCAATTCCTGAAACCGAATATCATAACAGATGCCTATACCAATACGTCCAACGTCTGCATAGAGCCAAAAAGAAAAGAAAAGAAAAGAAAACAACTCAAACAACAAATAGACCAGAAGACTCAGGCAACTAAATGTTCCATACATGGTTACTTAAGGAAAGAAAAGTTACCTTGCGGTGCTTGGCTTTCAGCACTCCAATGGAACCAAAAACACAACAAGCGTTGTACAATCGATCACCACATCTTTCTGGGTTTGAACTGCCCACTATGGTAACCTTCAAGGCCTTAGCGACTTCGGATAACATAGCGGTTGAAGGAGATGAACCTCCATCAATGTCCTCGGCATAAACAGGGAAGCTATCATTTGAATAGGGACTGTTCCATATTTCCTGGCACAGAGTCAACAAAACCATGAGGCAAGCTGCGTGATTTTTCCCTCCTTTTATAGAACGGCGCAGGCTGCAAATATGGCTGATTTTACTAGAAGCCAAAGCTTGCAGTATAAAAACATAGCAATTACATAAGCATCAATAAGAACTTAGCCACAAAAAGTCACCCAAAGCGATAAACAGGACACGTGCACGCTCAAGATGCTTTTATCCATTCTTTCTTCTAGTGCACGCCTTCACAAAGGGCATTTGATAAGGTATACAAAGTTCTTGTAAGCCATAAATTTCCCATTTTGCAATCGGGAGGCACATCCAAACTTTCCATGACTACACGAAATCATGCAAAAAAATGTCATTCCCATAGAGTTAGATGATTGGATTATCATGAGATAACAATGAATTATTCTAAATCAGAAGACGATCAACCAGGAAGATACATGCCTTTCCAGCTTTTCAAAGAGCAGCACATTGTGCCTCTGCTTCTGAAGGGGCCTGACATACATAAACTGAATCTGGTATCTAACATTTTTGTTACGAATAAAGAAGAATGAACTTCTCAGACAGAATAGTAACCTCAACTGCTGGGATACCCATAAGTCTCAATAGTTTTTTGCAGTCTTCATTGTGCTGTTGTGTCACCTGCAATGGTATCAAAGCCATGTACCACATGCGCACACATATCTGGTTAGCTACATAGATAGGTTTTTCTGGAAAACAGAGACAACATCAAACTTCTCATCGAATAGAACTAAAATATCGCACAGTAAGGAAGTGATCAAAACAAAGAAAAACCTTCACATTTAAGGTATCTAAACATATTCATAGACAATTAAAAAAAACGAGAGAAGATAAGGCTACATAATAATAAAGTACCGTTGTGCGAGCTCTTGCTTCTTCAAATCAGGAGGTTTACCATCAAATACGTAGCTATCATAACAACATAAAGCATAATTCAGAGAAGCACAAACTTCATTCTTCTTAGCATTCTATCCCAATGAAAACATAGGAGGTAAAGAAAAAAGCTTACACTGGCTGTATCCCTGCTTCCAACAGCCTAATCGTTCGGTAATGCATGCCTTGCAGATGACTACATGAGACGACAAATCAAAAAGCAGCTCAAAGTCAACACTTCCCAAGAACAAAGATCACATGGCAAGTACAAAATAATGTGACACACGTCGATCTCATATACATAAACCCCAGTCCAAGCAATAACAACTGAAGCATCAAAACAGAAACTCGAGCAAAGTGGATTATCATTTCCATGGAGTATACCGATGCCATTAGTGGTACCTGGTGACTTGACCAGCCTCATTGGTGAGCATATGAGTCCCCTTCCTCCCAACCACAACCTGATCCACCAATCAAAGACCAAAAAAAACCCCCAACACTCAAAATCCAAATCCCCGCCGACACCGAAACACACAATCAATCAGGAACATCAACTCATAAAAAGCAAAGCACTTAACGAGGAACTGATAGATGCTCATGCTGGCATCGACGGCGATCCTCCGGCCGAAGTAGCTCTCCAGCTTCTGCTCCCTCATCGCCTTAGGGGCATTGTCCGCCAGTAGCTTCATCAGCCCCTATCGAAATCAACGGACGACTCAATCAACAATGAAGAAGAGGGAGGTGGAACTACCTTGATGCCCATTTTCGGAAAGAAAAAAAAAATTCCCGAATCGCGTCGCGAGCATGGGCAATGTTCCTCTCTTTATCCGCCGTCACCGAAAGTTGGCATAGCCCGATCTGAAACTGAAACCACACCACCCAAAGAAAAGACGTCAAATTTTGAGGTCGCATCGATGATCGAAGTCGAGGGGTTCGAGCCCATGCCTTGGCGAGGGGAGGAGTGGGCAGAGGGAGCGCGGGCGTCAACTGAAGCTTACTCTTGTCCTTGCTCGCTCCCTTCTTGCGCCTCCAGCCACAGGCCGCTCGATTGGTCACCAAAAGAACCCAGCCTCGGAAATCCGCCGTGGATGAGCTGGACCGTGGTTGATGAAGACAGAGGAAGAGCCGAGGCGGACGCCAAACGGAGCGAGGAGAGGCGAGAGGGTCTTGTCGAGTCGTGGGTGTGGGGAGTGGGAGAGAGGGCGCAACGGAGGAGCAACCGAGAGAGAAATTTGTGAAGAAAAGTTAGGGTTTTTATTTTTTACTAGGAAGAGCATCGGTTCCGGTTCCGGTTCCGGTTCCTAAAAAATTGGAACCGAGAACCGGAACCGCTCACCCTAGAACCGGGAACCGAACCTTACCCGCCGGTTCGGTGTTTCGGTTTCCGGTTCTACCCTGGAACCGTGCTCACCCCTATTAGGTAAGGCTCCATCACTTGATGACTATCTAGCCTCCAAGATTGCTTTAAGTAGAAGATGTTGTGATTATGATATTTGATATTTGATGCGGGCAAATTGAGCGTTGTTGCTCTTGCAGATCACACCCCAGTTATACCAACCGTTCGTAATTTTAACTAAGTTTATGTTTTTTCCAACACTCACTGCTTCGATAAATTTGAAATCAAGAATTTCCCACTGGAGTGGGAGTCTGTCACCATGAAATTTTGAATGCACTGCTTTATAGATTTGGCTTGGTGTTATCCAAGGATATAATTATATTTTCCAACAATATCCAATTTGCTGAAGTTGAACGGCCGATTCTCAAGATATCGCAACTTTTAACCATAGTTGCTCGATTGTGAGGTGTCAAAACTTTTGTGATTTGACCCGATTGATTAATTTCATCTTAAATATCAAGTCATAAGTTTTTCGAAACCCCAATAATCACTTGGATCGGATTTTTATTGAAGAAAATATATTAACTTTCCACCAGAACCATTTGTTTGGCCCAATTCTCGGAAATCTGATTTGAGTCACAAGCTTTTCTAGGGACATGAAAATAGTGTCAAATTGACGTCGGATGAAAACGCTATGCACAGTCATAGGGGCTATTTACATTAAATTAATAAATTAATTAATAAATAAATGTTGCCCAAAAGGGATCAAACTGCCTCTACGAAGTTAAGTGACACACCCTCTGCTTAGTCAAAGATATCAATCTCCATCTTACTTTCCACAATATCTCTCGCGAATTCTAAGGCCTGAATTAATTGGCTTCAAAGTATCTATTAGAATTTGAGTTAAATCCATTTAGAGTTAGGTCTTTATTTCCGTGTACTTGGAGTATTGTCCACTCCATCGATAATGTAAACTTCTTTTACAACGCGATACATCCAAACTTGGCGATTTCACCTAATCTCGACATGTTCACCCTCTACACTTAGGTCCTCCCAAGAATATTGATGAACTTACCTAATATTTGGTCCGTCCAATCACCTCAATGATCCCAGTTACCTTGCGTGCTCACCAATATCTAAAGGTTCTTCCAAACTTAACAGTTTCCACTAAGCATCTTATTCTCTATTTGCAGAGGAAGGAAATTCTCCAATAGCATAGACATCCTGTTGATAACATCATACGCATATAAACTTGTATATATAGAAAACAATTTGTCCGCACACTCAAAAACACATATAACTTCACATAAAATGTTTTGTCATCTTCAAAATACATAAGGAGTCTTACCAAAATAATTTACCTTGAAAAAAAATGAGCATTTGACCCCCTATTTAAATAGAAAAAATGGAAGCACAAGGGACCTAGGGCCTTACTCAAGGCCATTGGGCCATTGCACAGCATCATAGGGATATTGTACAGGGCCCTCTGCCCGCTGCTTAGTAGACTTGGGGCTCTAGGCAGCAAAGAACCAGCGTGAGGTGCGAGCTGGGTGTGACATCCCAAAAATTCCGTTCGTCAGTCCGTCTAACGAACGTACGTAACGAAACGTTACGTGGGAATTTGAATAAGTATCGATGAGCTACGGAAGCACCAACTTCGAAAGACTCGGATATTATTACGTAACCACCACCACAAGATCCCTCTACAACTACCTATCTTTTCATCCGTAATATCGTTTTACAAACTAACCGTTTTGACCTTACAATGTCCTTCGTTACATTACGAGTTTTAGTCACGTGTTCCATCTAGCCGAATTCGTGCACGTCAATGCCATCTGTGCCGAATTCATACATCCAATGGTCACGGTCAACATAGTCTTCTGCAATTGCAATTTCCACGCCATCCTTCCTTCCTACATGAACACCACCACCCCCATTTTTCTTTCTCCTAAGCACGCCACGTTGATCCCCAAACATTAGCCACCTTCTGCCACTTCTTCCTTCCAACATCATGCCACGCCATTGTTCTTTCTCACTAGAACACCACCTAATCCGCCACCTCCTCCTTCCTTCAATTGCCGCCACATCAGCCGCTTCTTCAGTTCTCTTCACTTGCCACGATTGAAACCCTTTAAGCCACATGCCAACACCCCCACAAGCCACCCAATTCCTACATGCAAGAGGGGGAAATTATTTTCATCCCCTTGTAATTACCGATTAACTTTCCCCTCTCGGTCAATTCTGCCGGTTTCCCCCTGCTCATCTTGTTTCATTCTGCTCGTTGCGGCTCGATTCCTTCCACGACAAATCCACGGCGTTGCTCGCCTGTTCCGCCCGTCCAACCAGCCGCAGGACCGCCCGGAAGATTCTCGTGCCGACGAAACCTGTGAGCCACGAACCGAGGAAGCGCGACCAGAAGCCGAGACACTTGGCACTCCCTTCTTTGCCAGAACAGCGCCAAATTCAATCGACGTCGAGGCAAGTGGAATTCTGCCTCCCTATTCTAAACTAGGAGCCAGTTGCATGTCGAATTGATCATAGATTCGGGATATTGATGGAGATGAATGGTGTATGTGGAGGTCAGCTTCTGGTTTGGGAGTTTCATGAACAAAAATTCGTGTGGTTAAGTTTTGGGTTACTTGTTGAACTTTTGACTTGATTTCCAGAATTGGTACTGCTGTACCTTTACCATTTTCCATTTTTATATAGATTTTTACGGAACGAATTTGGGGAAATTTTATTCATGAAAGTTGTTCAAAACATCTTGGAATATAACATACTTTAAATTCATATTTTTATGAGTTCAAATGGGTTGCACGAAGACCCTATTTCTTACCATGTTAAATCTGTCCAGTGCAGTAAAATCAGTGACCTATATGTCTTCTCGAATTTTTATAAAAATTCCAGTTCGAAATTTGACATACTTCCCTCACAAAAGTTGTTTAGGAAATCAATTTCTACGACGTATAAAAATTTCGAAGTGTTTTGAAAAGTTTTGATTTGCGAAACGAGTATTTCTTGCAGTTCAATCATTCTGTTCCAGCGGGCCAGTTTTTGGTCTGACTTTAATATTTCGAACGAGCTATTTACAAAAAGATTTAGACTATTCTTCATGACAATTGTTTATCAAGGTGTCTTCTGTGACATATTCAAAATTTATAATTTTTGAAGTTCATTTACTACTTATTTTAATCCGATTTTGAAAACGGTGCAAAGCTGCCCAGTTTTACCCTTTTTTCAAAGATTCACTAATTTCTAGGTGAAGACGTGGGAATCTCGATTTGATGTCTTCTGGAGATAGAATATAAACATTCTGACCTTTCAAATAAGATATGATATACCTTGATTGGATGTCAAATGATGGGGCAAGTGAGGCCAAATTCATAAATAAGCTTGTAACCGGCAAGTGATGCTAGAAAGGATTGATTGTTGTGTTGTTGTTTGTGTGACATTGAAAAAGATTAATTGTTGTTGGTGATCTGTGGATTGCATGAGTTGATTATATGTGTGGCTTGCTGGGTTATTGAATGCCGTCGGTTTACGGACCGATAATGCCCCATGGAGCCGAAGGGAAGGCAAGATGCCTGGTTGTGAGAACCAGATGCCTAGGAGGATTTTTCCCTAGATGCCTCGGGAGTGTAATCGGGATGCCATGGTCAGTGGATCACGAAGCCTGCGCGGGCCATTGAGAATTTTGATGTACACAGCAGCAGATCAGAGTGTGCACCGAACCCTGCCAGACCGGAGTGTTCCTCTTTGCATAGCCGGCAAGCGCACCGGGCATGCGACTTGGAGTGAGGAAATGATACCCATGCAAGTGTTGAATTGTGTGCGCATGTCTGAATGATGCGATTATTCGTTATGGTCAATGTTAAACCATCATCTTTGGAATGATTAATAGAATGTGCGCAACAAGGTATGTCTGCCTCATCTGGTATGTCCAAGTTGGTATTTGTCATGTCTATGTTGACTGATGTGCACATTGTTGTTCGCTTAGTATAGGGTGATAGATGTTCCCTAGTTGAGTTATGGCTCACTCTTATTAATTATAGTCTCCCACCGCCAGTGACCCCGGGTACCTTCTTCGGAGCCCCTGATAAGTTCGAGGGCTGCCTCACCCTTTTCATCGCCTTGATTTTCCGATGGTCATGTTGGTACGCTACGATGCCACCCTTTGGATGGATGTGGGTCTATCTAGACACCGGGTGCCCCTACGCTTTGTCTCGATATTTATGGACGTGGGTGGTAGCTTGGTGGGGCCAATCAAATACCCAGTGGATGGCAGCAATGGCGGCGGTGTTGATGGCGGGGTAGAGAGAGTGGGGTACGCGGGAAGGCAAGCAGAGTAAGGGAATCATATTTGGACGACACTACTTGGTACTTTTTGGGAGATAGTGTCGGATGTAGGGTGACACCTTTTGGATGATACCAATATGCGAAACTGTATAGATGGACCCAATATGGGTGACTCGTAGTGATAGTCTCCCCAAGAAGGGATCTTCTCGCTTGTATATCATCCGTGTTGATAAATAAAGAAACAATTCAATTCGGTGCTAGTTTTGTCTTTCATAATGTCAGGCTTGCTTTTAAATAATTCATGCTCTAAATATTGGCCTTAAAAGAAATTTCTTCCGCATGCGAACAAATTTATAAATGATAAAAATAATTACGAATACCCAGAGTGGGGCATGCTTGGGACGCTACATCCTGTATATCAAATTATTTCTAAAGACACACGCATTACTAGCAAAGTTTCTAGTAAATATTTTATTTCGTCTACTAAGAAAGGCTACTCCTTAAGAACTGATTTAAGCATTTAAGAATGCCTTGTTTTACAGTGCAATGCATTCAAACCTTGGACTGAGCTAAT